CTATAAAAAAAAGTCTATATAAAGTTATTCTTTAGTCATTTGAAATCTAGATTTTAATTATGATGTAAAAAATGACGTAAATTCGGTCAATTTGACATCAAATTGATATAATTTTGACTTTTTTGTTCTCCTTGGAAATACATGCATTGAAATGTTGTTGTTGATCTTTACATTCGTTACAAATTCGAATTTGGTTTTGAACATTTTTTTTGTTCCATTAATTCTATATAAAATTTAGAATAATAAAAAATATATATGAAATTTTATCACTAGTTGAACTATATAATTTTGACATGATATATCAATCAGTAAATTTTAGACTCATATATCAATCAGTAAATTTAGACCGCCCAATATTTTAACTAATTCAAGTATTGCTTTCTTTGCACGTGCAATCGTCGAAGTTTGGATTTGACAAAAATTCCTATCATCTGATATTAATCTGTCTGAAGTGAATTATATCCGACTTGAATGATTTTAATTCTTTTTGATACCGTATTTTCGGTGTAGAAATCCCGATCGATTTGGATTACTTTTTTTAAATCGATTTTAATCAAACATTTTCAACAGAGATGGCACTTTAACACACTGGACTGACTTTTTCTATGCTTAAATATTACTCGTCGCTGAATCGGACGGATGCATGCTAATTAATTCGCAAATCTTTATTAATTTCTTATTAATTATTGCGAAAATGGAAAAATTGATAGCAATTAAACCTTTCTATTCAATTTAAACAGCTGTCTATAATTAATATCCACGAACGTTATTAGATGATATATAATGTTATATATACGTAAATTCATACACACACACAAAGCATTCCTACAATAAATTTATTGCGTAAATACAAAAAATAGGAAAAAATATCTATATACAATTTTTCATTATAAAATTAATTCTCATCTAACTGTGTCATAGGTATTCCAGTGCATTCACTATGCTTTATACCAAATGAATACATAGGCGAACGTTTTCGCGTATCGTACAATGGATAAAAGATTGGTGCCGGACTGCGATATTTTTCTAACAAAATATGTCTTTTTTTTAAACTATATGCCGGACTCCGTCGTTTTATCGTGTCATAGTTTATTTTTACGTATGCGGCCGGACCTGGACCAACAATTTCTTCGCGTACTTTACGATGACCAACGCTAAAAAGACATAAAATACATTATATAGTAAATAAATATATTTAGACAAAAAATTATTTTATCATACATGTATTGAATAAATAACAACAAATTTATCAACATTCTTACATAGAAAATGCACCCTGAGCGGGCTTATCAGGCACTTTAGGTCCTATGCATGTTGGTAAAAGATATGAATTCGGACCAGGTCCTTCGTCTAGAAACTTTGTCACACCTCGTGACATAAAACTATAAGCTGGTGCTCTACGATTGTGATTCATCGGTGGACATAATTCAGGAGAGTATGCTCCAGGTCCTGGAGCATGATCTCGTACTACAAAATATAAAATTAAATGTTAATATTATTTTCCTATGCCTCAAATTATTAAGAATAACTATTTTATACTCACAAATCCATGCTTTCCTCCCTCTGATTGTGTAAGCGGGTGGATTATCAGGCCCAGATTTTGTTAAATTTCTGATATTATAACGAGGACCAGGCTGTATCGCAAAAGTCTTGATAGCAGTTCGAGCTCGTATGCTGTATGCTGGATTTCTATATCGAGATGGATCATGATCACTGTAGCCAACTAACGTTGGTAATTTGTAAATTGGGCCAGGACCTATATTCATAAATTTAAATTAAAATAAAATAAATAATCCATATAATTTGTACTACTAAAAATAATTACTTTTTATGGTACAACTTAAAGTTCTTGGTTTATTTTCTTTGCCCTCCATCTTTACTGTTTGATGTACATGAAAAGCATAATATCTATAAAATCATAAACATAAAATCTATAAAAATTCAATTTAAAGGATAATATAAAAATTCTTCATGACATGACTGTTTGAGCAAGTTATTAATAAAATATGAAGGTCTAAATTTTCAGTTGATATGTTCACACTAATCAGTATGTTTATTTAAATGTTTATTATAATTATTATATTTCTTTATTTTTCATACATGTGTTGCCACATGTTATAATTAATATAATTCATAGAGACGCGCGTTATTTATAACGCATGAAAATTAAGGGTTATAAAAATGAAACAAAAACATTTTAGTAAAAGCTCTTTTTATTTAGAACATTTTTTATCACATAATAAGTCATCAATATCACTGTCAAAATTATCATTTTCTCTTTCAATATCATTGTCAATGTTATCGTCTTCCATAATAGCTAATGATTTTAGTTTCATTAATAAATCTTCTCTTTTCGTTTCATCACTTGTTTCATCTTCGTTTCTAATTTTACTGTCAATTTTATCTATATCAGTATCTAATTCAGGAGTATAAAGTTTGCTATTATTTTCCTTATTTCTTGCTAAAAATAAAGTGAGATAAGAGTTTTTTATTATATAAAAACATATATTTATGTATTTTATGTCCATTATATATATGTATAATAAATACATAAAATTCTCAACAACTCAATACGCAATATATCAAATACATACTCGATTGTTGATTCATATAACGTAAAAATGCTCTTCGTTTTCGTTCTGACATTGTTTTCAGAATTGCTTTAAATTCAGCATCCAATTCAATTTCTTCCTTATTGGATTTTTCTTCTACAATTTCTTTCTTCTGTCCACATTTTGAACAAACTCCTTGTTGTTTGGTGCAAAGCAAGCAAATATTATGATAAGAATGTTTCACAGTTTTTTTATCACACTTAGTACATTTCATTGGGGCTTTAATAACTTTATATTTTTTATATTTGATCTTCCACTCTATTATTTTTTTACAGCGTTCGCATACATTAGTAACCTCAGTGCTATTCATTAACTTTATTTTTTTAGAGTTGTCATACAAATTATTTTTAAAAGATGTTTGATTTTGATATCTTTGAGGCCTCGAACGGCTAGCATTTCCTCTTTGATAACTCATATTATTGTAACACTTTTACAAATTTAAACAATATAAGGAAAAATTCTTCTTTAATTTCCCAACAACATAAATTGCTGCATATTTTATTATCTGAAAATATATATATAATTAATCTAACCTTCAAGTTCTGTTAATTTTAAAATTCAGTCCGTTCTTATCACACTATTATAACATCTAAGACAAATTTTATATCACAATATCTTAAAAATATGTTAAAAATTATATTGATTACCATTAATACAACTTCGATGACATGTAATCACATTCGCTTACTCTCGAAAAATCTATCTCACATTTGATCTGTTTGCTCCTGTTCTACAACACGTTGTATGTCGGGTCCACCCATGATGTATCATGGGATGCTTTCATGGATGAATCAATGGATGGAGCCATGAAGTATGTTCATGGATAGAGCGTAGAGTGGATTCCATGAAGTATGAATAAGGTAGAGTCCTAGATTATCAGAGAAGCGCGACCGGTGTTACGAGTCCTGATTGGACACGCAAATGGCCAATCATAAGATTGATTTATCGCTATTATAAATGGCTGCCGAATAAATCAATCTTATGATTGGCCATTCGACGCCATTTTTAATATTTTCTAGTACTTTTGCGATACTGCCATAAGCCGGTCGCGCTTCTCTGATAATCTAGGACTCTAACTAGAGGGACTCTACCAGAGAGTAGAGTCCTAGATTATCAGAGTGAAACCGACATCGAAATCCGACGTGGTTTCGACTGATGTCAAAAAGCATCGGCAGACGGCGTCCACGGCGGAGCGGGCGCTGAGAATAGTACAACAATGGATGGCAGAACAGGAGAGGCGTTGCAACACGGAGGCAGTCGAAATTCCCGAGATCGCGGCCGAGGAGGAGGTCAAGCCGGAAAGTCCGGCGTATGAGCCAATTACATCATCGCTACTAATGGAAACAGAAGAATAAACCTACCATATATGAGATTATCTCAGAGTTCCTTTAATTATTTTATATATTTTTCTATGAGTTCATTTTATGATTTTATATTATCATCATCAATCGTTAATTTGATATATTTGATTTTAACTATAGATTATGATTAGTT